GATTCATAGTAATTTCCTGATATTAGACTTCTGGCCACTGATGACAGGCCCATGGACCCACAGGGCTCGATCGCCTCGGTCAGGGTGGGCGTGACCGCCTTCTAGACTTGGCGGGATTTGCGGCGACCCTTCAAAATACGGGGGAATTTCGGTCCAGCTGATTTGCTTTATCCTCCATTTTACGGCCCCTTGAGATGACCTAGTGTTAGGTCTTCTCTGTGGCGAGCCCCCAACTCTTCTTTTGTGGCCTGCTATACTTCATCATGCTTCAGCGCTCGGCAGTTTTTCATCGATTTGGAACTTGCCAGGGGTTTTCACTACCAACATGACACGCCGATTTGTATGCTCCCTCACCTCCATTTCTATAGCTTGTGTGCGATGTTTGGGTGTCTAACCTGTCGTCTTATAGGTTCGCGCGGGTGTACAACTCGCAGTATTTGCTGTTTGTATACTGGTTTTCGTCGTAACTCTAGATAACCGGTTTCGCGTCCTACCTAACGCTATTCATGGCCACCTCCCTTCGCACTATTCAGGACTCGTCGTTACGGATGTGACCATAAAATCGTGCTCGCATATCAATCCCTTCTCCAAATGCAATCCCATTTCGAAGTCATGGACACAAGTCGACAAGGATCTTTATCTGCGCACAGGTTGGACGTCCACCGCCTTTGTCCAATTTGAGCGGAAAAAGGAGGAGGACCTACTTCCTACGGACAAAGTTGTGATTGATTTAAAGATTAGTCGGCTTGTTCCGGAGACCACCGAAAATACTAAGGATGGGGAGAAAGATGAAGCCACGTGGGAGCCGAGACCAGGTGGCATTTGGCTGAGACGAACAGCCAAGCGCCACGCGAGTGATTCGCAGACTGCGATCACCTTAGTCGATGTCCTTTTCGGTGCCGATGCGGTGGACCCGCGGATTGGCTGGGAGGTCAGAGATACGCCGCTGCTGCTGGATAGTCGGACGGAGGACTTGGAAGCCCGTATCAGTATTCAGAGGGGAGATCCTCAGAAGATGAAAAAGCCAGTTCCCAGGATCAATGAACATGGTCGCTTTAAGATTATGCAGCTGGCTGATTTGCATTTGAGTACCGGTCTTGGATCGTGCCGTGACCCTATCCCAGCGGAGCCTGTTCCTGGCCAGAAGTGTGAGGCCGACCCGCGGACACTTGAGTTTGTAGAGAGGCTCCTTGATGAAGAGAAGCCCGATATGGTGGTCCTCACTGGCGACCAGGTAAATGGCGAAACCTCTAAGGATGCACAAAGTGCGCTTTTCAAGTCTGTCAAGCTGCTTGTGGATCGCAAGATCCCCTATGCAGCTATTTTTGGCAACCATGACGACGAAGGCAACCTCAACCGGTCGGAGCTTATGGCCATGTTAGAGCAACTGCCGTATTCATTGTCGTCGGCTGGCCCCGAGGATATCGACGGTGTTGGTAACTACATCGTCGAGGTTCTTGGTCGTGGTACTAGCGCACACTCAGCTCTGACTCTTTATCTTCTTGATTCGCATTCGTATTCGCCAGATGAACGACAATTCCGAGGTTATGACTGGATCAAACCCAGCCAGATCCGCTGGTTCAAGAACACTGCCCAAGGCCTTAAGAGGAAACACCATGAATATGCATACATGCACATGAACATGGCATTCATTCATATTCCGTTGCCCGAATACCGTGACCCAAATAATCTGTTCATTGGCAATTGGGACGAGCCCCCGACCGCTCCAGGATTCAATTCAGGATTCAAGGATGCACTCGAAGAGGAGGGTATCCTTTTTGTTAGCTGTGGACAGTAAGTCCAACCCTGTTTTGCCCAATCGGTGATGTCTCTGTTACTAATGAATGGACTTGTAGTGACCACGTCAATGACTATTGCATGCTTAACAACAATAAAGACGAGAAGCCGTCACTCTGGATGTGTTATGGAGGAGGTGTTGGATTCGGAGGCTATGGAGGCTATAAAGATTATGTCCGGCGTGTGAGGTTCTTTGACTTTGACATGAATGCCGGGCGGGTTATGACATATAAGCGACTTGAGTATGGCGAAACAGAGGCTAAGATCGATGAACAGATGATAGTTGACGGTGGTGCCGTGAGAGGGCTGTAATGAAAAGATGAACAATCACGGTGCATTTCATTTCACGTTCTGGATTTGAGAAAAAGACCTACTGTCCCTCAGCTTTTTTGACTGAGTGGTCTAACCTTCTTTACAACATATTGTTACCAATGCCGGCATGCCCTCTGTTTCTTTCTACCCCCCACTCTTTTACATTCTACTCTTGTGTTGTTTATATTATCTTTGTATAGTGTGAGGATGTCAACATATGCTGGCTCTGGAGGGCGTCGGCTGGGGGGTTTTGATTTGTGGAGGACGAGACCGAAGGAATCATCAAAAGAATGCTATTCTTTGTTTGCTACTTGCCTATTCATACATATATTCGCACCACTATCCATGTTATTAGGAACGCTGTGTAGGTTTCTCATGGGTTAATGAACTTCTTTAGATATTTCATACGTGCTCGTATAGAGGGTTTCGCGTAGCATTTACTATCTATAAGCTCCCTACCACCATTTCTCGAAGAAAACACGGTCACTCCCATCACCCATGAGATCTCGAAGAGCAGCGACAAACTCATCTGTCATCGCAGGCGGACCGCACATATAACAAACCGTCTCCTCAGGCTGGATATCTCCATTCGGGCCGGTAAGAGCCGTATGCAGATCACCCTGACTGATTCTCCGTGGGTGAATACTCAAGTCATTGGGCTGTTCAAGGAGAAGTGGAGACGATGCATCTCGTAAGTTGGTAAGAAACAGATCGAGAGTTATGCGTAACCGATGAGATTGAGACTGGGAACGAATGATCTGACGGAGACGAGAGAGAAAGAGGATCTGATCTAAGACGGATTCAGGGTCCTCCGGGGATGTGGCTTCTGGGAGTTTAGTAGAATAGAGAAAGTGGATATTGAAAGGGTGATGTGAAGCTGGGGTCTCGTCGGCATTGTTGTTTAAATGTGAGAGGATGGAGATTAATGGACTTGTGTTTTGGTTAGCATGTTGATATTGAAGTATACTGGATAAATATCCCAGGTCGCAGTCAGTAGCGCTAGTGACTTACTTAATACCCACTCCCCCAGCTATGAGAACTACGTTCTTGACCTTTTCGAGGTCTATCCCCGATGGAGGAGGCCAGACGAAGCTGCCTCCGACTCGGATGCATAGCTCCTTTCCCAGAATTTCATCTTTGGGTTTCCAAAGCCAGGCGCTAGCGGGATTGGAGAGTGCCTTTTGAACGGCTAGTTCCACGTATGGGTCTCTGCCTCTTGGGTCTACGGGAGGGAGACCTGTTTCCTCGTCTTCCACGGCAAGTGACTCCGCAGTGGGCTGGAGAGAGGGGAGGGGTTCAGCATCTGCGGGTGTTGAGGTGATACTAAAGCCCCCGGCGTCGGATATAGACGGGATGTGCACATCTAGCCATTGGCCAGGGGTGAAAGTGAATGGCTGAGGTTGATCAGACTGCTATGGCGTTAGTATATGCTACAAATAGCTGTGGCTCTTGAGAACGTGGGCAACCTGGTGGGACCCAAGTATCACTACCGGAGAACCGTTGGTAAACCCTTGACAGAACTAATTGATTGGAAAGTAATAATTGATTGAACATATTATACCTCTTCATCATTCTGATTTGGTTCCTCTAGAGCTTGCACCCGCGGAGGGATGGTCAAGTGTAGCAGCCGTATGGTAGGATTGACCTCTTCGATATGTGATAGCCGCACATTGTACAGAATATTTTGCCGGGGTTCTGCTGCGGTGCGCAATTTATGAGGCACCGACGCCTTTTTACTGGTCAGGGAGCTCATTTCGTGCCGAATCACTGACGGACAGCGCTTATGCAACAGGTTGAGGTTGGATGGTGGCTTATGGAGTTGGCGGCAACGCAAGACTTGGAGGGGTCGCATGTGGTACCTAGTGAAGAGATATACCCACTTATGAGTGCATTTGGTATGATTGGTACTAGAGCATTCAGGTTCCTCGTTTTCCAATCCCTGTAGAGATGTGTGATAGAAAAAGACGTGGGTTGATGTTGAAACTTTGGAGATCAAGTGACATTTACATTCAATGACGTCGGTTACTAATACAATACATACAGACACTTTTAACCAACTACTAAAGACTACATCCACTTTTCATCCTTTGCACTCACTTCTGTGCCAGAAGTTGTTGTTACAACAAAATACTCTCAAATGAAGCAAGAAATAGGCACATTTTCTTTGGATACTTAATATTTTCCCTCGCACCTGATTTTGTTATGCATGTGGGATCACAGAAGCACACTGGCTAATGTTTAGACTCCCCACTCCAGCGCTTTGCTCTCTAACAGGACAGTCGAGGGAAACTATGAATTCCTGCGGCACTATAGACAAATTCACAAACTAACCAGTGGTGCCAGTCTGTTGCTCAACCATGCAGATCAATAACTCCATCACACTGCCTAGTGTGTGACGGCCGGCAGCCAATCTTCCACCTTCGCCATCTTATTGGTGATGTACACCCGAGCCCCGGCTGGTGTTGGCGCTTCCCTGGCGGCAAGCATTGGCCAGATGCATCTTGAGCAACAGTCAACTTGCGTTGCTCGAGAGTTTCTTTGGAATTTTGTCGCCGACTCGAGGTGCTAGTGCCCCTCTTTTGACCCTCGCCATGGGCCATAGAGATTGGCCCTGGAGACCTGGGAGCGCTCTACTCCATATTTACGGCTTCTTCCCGGCTGATCCTCCAAGCCTTTCTCTGACAGCTGTCTTCCTCCTGTCTCTTTGTACTTTATGTCTTTGGCCGTCCGATGCGACTGAGTTGAATGCCCAGCCAGCCGGTCTGGCCACAGCGTAACTGTTCACGGATACAAGCTCACGGTGCAAATTCTCTACCTACGTTGTATACGCTACTGATCCGCCAAACCACGGGAACTTGTATCTTCGCGAAAACAAATATACAATCGGCATCATGGTTTACTTACCACGAAAATGGCGCAAACACAACCTCTTTTATATTCTGATGGCTATTGAGCTTCCCATTACTATTGTCATCCTCACATTCACTGGTATTGCGTCCCACGATCTATACCGGACCAAATTATGGCAAGATGGAGCAGACAATGGCTTCAACAGTTCTCCCGATGAGATTCTCTATGCTGCCGCGAACTATAGGCCCTATAAAGTTCCTATGGTCTGGGGCTCTTTGTATGTATTAATCCTTTGCCTTGCAAATGATATGGTCTGAATTGTGTAACAATCACTAACGACATTGTAGCATAACGAATTACAATCTAGTCCTCGGTGTTTTGAGCATCTTCATTTTGATAACCAAACTCCCTCTCCATATCCTGCGGATTTTTTACCCCCCTTTGTCAGTGTTCGTCCACGTGGGACTGTTCATCGTATATATCGTGTCGGCCAGTTATCAAGCTGGTTCTGACAAGTCGGATCCTAAGCATATACAATCTGGCCCGCCATGGTATATTACGAAGTCATGCAGTGTTGCTTCGAATAAAGATAATATCGGATATTGCCAACAAGCCAAGGCGCTCTTTGGTTTTACTATCATTATCATGTGGGTGGCACCTAACATTAAAACGATTGTTTCATCCCTTAGCCCTAAGTAACTGATATTATATCCATAGTGTTCTTTATTTTGTCGAAATCATCGTGAGCCTCCACTCCTCCTGCTTCTTGACCAAGGAGGAAAAGGCAGAACGCGACGAACGCCGCGAAGAAAAGAGAACCATGAAGGAGTACGAAGACATGGTTCTCAGAACCCCCAGAACGTTCCCCATGATGAGTCCTGCGCTGCCTTCAGGGGTTGCTACGCAGATGATGCCTACCATGTCGTCACGAAGCCCTGAATTCAGTACCTTCGGGAGTGGATCGTCGGATCTCCCGCTCCGGGACCATTTCAGCACACCAAACCCTCGTCCGCCAACACAGCAAGAGTCATCGGAAACCTTGGCACCGGGGAACCAACCTCAGATGTACTTTCCGCCACCTCCTAAGAAGGCGGCTAAGGTGTGAATGTACTTGGAAGTCTGTAAAACTGCCCTTGAAAATCTAATATCAACACGCTCATATGAGAGCCACTTATATTTCTATCTCACTTCCCGCTTAGCGATCGATTTGCATGAACCGGGTGTTTTTTAGTCCTCGTTAGGGCACTGGCAGGAGGAACTCATGAATGCTCACGTATTATGTTTGGACCTTTTCTTTTCATGTCATTTTCCCTAGCTGTCATCTGTTCATTATACCATTATCGCGACAAGAGCAACTGCCATAGCTGACTGGCTAATCGTGCCCAATTCCAATCTGATTGAATACAAAAGAAGATAGTAAACCGGAAGAGAGCCTTAGTTATCCATAAGTCTCTTGGGTTCCAAAACTTGGACCATACATAATTCTCTCACAGCACAACTGCTGGAAAGAATTTGCCGTCACCATCGAACAACGCCAGGATATACATTGCTCACGAAAAATAAATAGTAGGACGGAGCAAAATGCAGGGGGTATCGCCGCAGGAACATGTTTCGCAATGCAGGAACGAGGAGTACAATGTTACAAGTGTTGCTGATTCCACGCAGTGGTGGTGGCTAAGTTTTATCTTGTCGTTTCTTTTCCTTTTTGGCCCAACGTACTGGATATGCTATTAGTCTAGATACTTGTGACGGAGAGAAATAAAGGGTGAATGGGCTAGCAACTTACATCCGCATGCATTACACAGAGTCTTGGGTCCCTCAGGTCCTTTTCTCCACTCAGGAGAGTCTGAGGTTCCGCAATCGGTACACATATATTCACCCTTCTGTCTTTTCTTTCGATCGCCGTCCGGGATGACGCGGGCCTGCTGGTCTAGCTTGGCAGATTCCATATCATAGTGAATGAGGCGACCCTGGCGCACGCCAGTACTGAGTCCCTGGGAACGTTCACCATCACCGTAGTGTAGCCCCGTCAGCATCTCGATTCCCTCAATATGAGACATGTCCTCCGCTTGGGCAAGTCTGTCGGCGGCATTCTCCAGGTACGACCGGGAGTCGGGATCATCGTTTGTGAGTGTGTCGGACGACTCGTTCTCCTCACCAGACCCAGTGGTTTCGCGGAACGATGACAGATTGGAATTGGATCGGCCCGAATGGGAATTGTGGCGGGAGGAGGAATCGCCCGTGGAGTCGCCTGCATAAAACTGTTGCCCTGATGCCAAGTCTTCTTCCTCTTCTTCCTGCCTTAGCTGTGCTATGCGCCGGTTGAGTCGCACGTTCTCGATTTTATGCTCCAGAAATGAGTCGATCAGCTGAGAGCCCCTCGTGGGATAAGGTCGGCACAGAAGAAAAATGCCAATGCAATCCTGATCAGGGTTTTCGGAACCGTCGTTCGGTTTGGACATTTCCATATGCGGGTGACCATGTGCCTCCAAGAGACAAGATGTATTGCTATTGTTGTCTTTCTTGCGAAACCGGAAATGGCAAAACACTGGACGAGTCGTCGTGATACACTCTTTGATCTCCTCGGCAAACATAGTCCTATCATCATTGTGTATAAAGCGCTCCAAAGCGTTCTGCTGTAGTTGGTTTGCGTCGTAGCCGGTGATGGACTTGCAAGATGGCGATGCATATAAGATCATGCCATCGGGGTCGAGAAGTAGTAGCATATCTTTCATCTCGGTCAACACACGCTGCGGCCAGCCCTGTTCATCTGCCGGGTCGGATGAGGCCTGCGCGCCCGCAATGCCGGCCGGCGGTAGTGGAAGTTTTTGAACATCTCTTGTAAAAGAATCATGATCCTCGGCCTGCATTCTGTGCTGATGATTCTGCGTTACCCCACTCTCGTGTTCGGCAGCGGTCCAATCCATCGTTGGCACCAGGGAAACCAACGATGTTTTTGCGGAGAGGAAATATTCTCTCGGACATGAGGAATGGCCACCGTGGGATTGCAAGATACACGAGCCACTAAGGCTGCGATAGAGCTGTCAATTCCGGTGCTGTATAACGACGCCGGGGGGCCCACTCGCCGCGCCAATGAGATATGGTCCACCGTTCAACAGGACCGACACTTCTCATCCACTGCTGGCACTCAGGGGTCCCAGGCACTGATAAGGATTCAATTGGTACCAACCAGCTGACGCTCTTTGGCTATATGTACGAGAGCCATCATTTCCTATTGTGGGTAAGAGGTATAGTACCTGAGCACATGACGGGCGGCTTGACATCTGTCAAAAGTACTTCCTAAATTCAATTTAATTCCCGACTTTAGTTGGTATCGCCACCACGTGATCGCGCGCCGCTTCCCCGCGTCGGCTCTTAGTGCCCGTGACGCGCAGCATCAAGTGCCGAACGCTGACCTGTTTCTCCGAAGTCCCCGAAGACGCTGGTCGTGCAGTACTATCTCCAGGGCACTTAGGAAGAACGAGGTCATTTAAGGGATAAACGGGGGACCTCATCCTTCTAGCTCAACGTCTATTTCCCCACGTGTGGTTGCGCGTCACCCTCAAGATGTGAGTCGGGTGTTGTGGTCCTGTCCCCCGTCTTGCACTGACAAACGAGCAGGTGTAAGTGGTGCGGCGATCGACTGCGGGGCGATGACCTCTAATATACTGACCCCATACCAGCGAAGATAGATAAGCTTTCAATTCTGGGGTAAGTATATTTCCCGAATAATTCTCGTCACCGATCGCTGATTCATTGTTTTCCTTGCTTTAGAGTTCGCTCCTTCGACAACACCCGCAGCGAAACCATCCAATTCCACACCCCTCTTACGTTGATCGTCGGATACAATGGATCAGGAAAGACAGTACGGGAATATCCAGACCAACTGAAGCAGCAACACTTCCACTAATCGGACCTTAGACGATTATCGAATGTCTCAAATACGCCACCACCGGCGACCTCCCGCCAAACAGCAAGGGAGGTGCCTTCATCCATGACCCGAAACTATGTGGGGAGAAAGAAGTCTTGGCTCAAGTGAAGCTGTCGTTCAAGGGCACATCGGGTGCGAAGATGGTATCTACACGGAGTCTACAACTTACCGTGAAGAAAGCCACCCGGCAGCAGAAGACGCTAGAAGGCCAGCTGCTAATGATCAAAGACGGTGAAAGGACAGCTATCTCGTCGAGAGTCGCGGAGCTGGATCAGATCATGCCTCAGTACCTCGGGGTCTCCAAGGCCATCTTAGATTCTGTGATTTTCTGCCACCAAGACGAGAGCTTGTGGCCTATGAGTGAACCTTCAGTTCTGAAGAAAAAGTTCGACGAGATCTTTGAAGCGATGAAGTACACAAAGGCTATTGACAATATCAAAGCTCTGAGGAAGAAGCAGAACGAAGAACTTGCCAAATACAAGATCATGGAACAACACGCTAAGGAGGACAAGGAGAAAGCGGACCGAGCAGAAAAGCGATCGGTTAAGCTACAAGAAGAGATTGAAGCCTTACGTGATGAGACACATCGGCTTTCTCAGGAGATGCGACGTGTTGCTGAGCTAGCCGATAAAGCATGGCGAGAGTCAGAAAGCTACGCCCAAGTCCTTGGTACTCTAGAAGGAAAGCGTATTGAGGCAAAAAGTATTCAATCAACGATTGATAATTTGAAAAGACACCTCGTCGAGCTTGACGATTCGGACGAATGGCTACAGTCAAATCTGGAGCAGTTCGAGTCCAAGCAGCTTCAGTATGAACAGCAAGAAGAGGCTCAAAAGGAGAACTACATGGAGATCAAAGAGCAGATAGAGCGGACGCGGCAAAAGCTAGGTGTCAAACAAGCAGAATACGGCAAGTTTGAGCATGACAAAGCCAATTTTGAGCGGCAGGTTGAACGGAGACAAAGGATGACCAAAGAAATCGCACGTAGCAACAATATTCGGGGATTTGACAACATTCAGGACCAGGGTGATGTCGATGAATTCATGAGGAAGGTCAGAAAGTTACTGAAAGATCAGAACCAGACCCTCGAGCGGGTCAAGCGGGAGGCACAAGGCGAACTGCGCGAAGTGCAAACGGCTCTGAACGATATTGCACAACAAAAGTCGGCATTGCAGGAAACCAAGAATGCTGCTAAGCGTCAGATAGCTGCGAATGACAAGGAGTCGACCACCTATCAAGGAAAGCTTAATGAAATCAACGTGGATGAAGGTGTCCAAGCGGCGCTTGAAGCCAACATTGAAGACATTCAGTCGCACCTGGGTCAAGCTAAGGAGCGAGCAAAATCGGCTTCGTGGGACAAAGAGATCCATGACATCAATTCTGAGATCCGAGGCCTTGAAGATGAAAGTTCGCGCTTGAACTCGGAACTCATCGATGCGACTAAACGGGCCGGTGACTTGGCACGATTGGATCATCTAAAGAAGGAATTGAAGGAGCGGGAGCGCAGCCTGGAAACTATGCAGGGCGCTCACGGCGAACGTCTCTCTAAACTCGTCAGCCAAGACTGGAAACCTGATACTCTGGAGCAGGAATTCCATAATGTACTGGAAGAAGAATCTAAGCAGGTGTCGCGCGCTGAAAACGAACGAGACGGCGTCAGCAGGGAACTAGAACAAGTGGAATTCAGACTTAAGAATGCCAAGAAGATTTTAGGGCAACGACAGAAGACGCTAAAAGAATGCATCGAGGAGATCCGTGAAGCTATTAATGACGAACCCGAGGAATTTCCCGAAGTTCTCAAGCAACGACAAGCACAGCTTGATATTGCGAGAAAGGATGCTGAGCAATATGCTGGAATCGGTGAGTATATGGCAACTTGTCTGGAAACTGTAAAACAGTCGAAGGTATGTAGGCTGTGCCATCGAGGCTTCAAGAATGATGCCGAGCTGCAGACCTTCAGAAACAAATTGGAAAATTTGGTTAAGAAGGCTAAAAGAGATGCCGATGACGAAGATGTGAAGAACTTAGAAGAGGACCTTGAGGCTGCACGCGCAGCCAGCAGTTCTTACGATACATGGTCCCGTCTTCAGCAGACGGAAATCCCGGAGCTGGAAAAGGAAGAGGAACAATACGTATTACAGCGTGATGAGCTCCTCAACCAGTTGGAGGACCGC